AGGCAAAAAGAAATGATACCAAAACCTCATAGAATTTAAAATCTGCAATTCCTAAATATCTCAACGAAATGCCAAGTTCAGTAATTATGCACCCTAAAAACAACTTTAGCATTCTCTCTCCTTTCTGACTGCTTTTCTGCAGCATGTTGACACTTCAGCAAACTGAAATGCCTTTCTCATCTGCACAGTTCCAGGAATTCCTCCCTCTCTGCTCTCAGATGTCCTCCTTCAGCTACTGAAGCCCCCAAATTAGGCTTTATCAATGAGCCTAGAAAGAATTCAGCCCATTACTGCCAAATGTGCCTATTAAGAGTACCAGCTTGAGACTCTTAAAAGGAGACAAAATGAGGAAGAGATTTTTGAAAGGTTTTCCCATCTGCATTACGAATTATATTTTTGTTGGGTCTGATCCTTCAAAATAGTCATCAAATTATGTTCAGTCTTCTTAAAGTGGGATATGGTCACATGTACTGTTGATGGTTTTCGGAGAATTCCCTATGGGGATACACATTATTAAAAATACAGTTAATATGCCAGCTAAAAGATAAAAATCTCACAAACCATCTTCCAAAAAACGATAGCGCTCCATTCTGCCTCCTGTGTCCGCCGGCACCTCTCCCTGCAGAGGGCTAGCTGGCATTCACTACTGCCTCCCCCGGGGAAAAGGATAGTATGCGGAAAATCCATTAAGAAAGGGTCCCATAATTCTGTTCCTTCACACCATGATCGCCAACTCCTGGCGATCCAAAGATGAAAGACATAAGAAAAGAAGAAAGAAAAAGAGGGGGAAAAAAAGACTACCTGGGGCCTCCTACGAGTATCAGTGGTTAATTCAACCGACTGAAAATCTGAGATCTATACATATTTAAAGGTGCTTCCTGAGACCAAAAGAGTTCTAATGAAGAATTGCTGAGCCACATTATATTGAAAAACCCATAAATATTAGTCCTCGCTGTCACCAAGCTAGAGGAATTTTTTTAATGCAGTGCTTTGATGCATTGAAAGGGCTAACCTGACCGATTTAAGTCAGCTATCAAACGTGCTCTGCATCTATTTCCCTTCTAAATCCCTAAAGATGGGGGCAACACTGACCCGCAATTATTCCAGAGCTTGCTCTGCTCAAGATGCCATTTGATGCTGAGAAAGTAGAGGTTTAGCAGCACCAGGCGGCTCTACGATGCTAAAATAACAACGCAGTACTCGAATAGGAACCCAGGTACTCAGCGTGTCAGACCCTGTGCCACACAAAGACCCACATTCAAAGCCCATGTCCCTTCAAGTTCATCTTAAATAAGCTTTCTGAAACGTGCCCTCTCAAAGTTTCTAGCTTGCAAAACGGAGTTACTTTGAAGGTCCCTTCCTTTGGATTCCCTTCCCCAGGCGGGTTGGCGACAGGGGGGAATAGGGACGGAGGAGGGCTGAAGGTTCAAATATTTAAAAACCTGTAAACCAATCTTTTTTTTTTCCATAGGAGAAAATAAGCGTTCACCAAACCGCCGCTCGGCAAAGCGAGCATCCGATTTCCATCTGGAGAGGAAAATATTAAAGAAGCCAGACACACATTTCTCTTCCCAACAAAAGTGGCCTCTAAACTCCCCGGCCAAGGACACTGGGAGGAAACAGAGAGGCTGGGAACCAGCCCGTACTCTCAGTGCAGGCGCGGGTGTGCGGCAGGGAGAACGCGCAAAGGGGAGACAGCGGGGAAAAGGTGAACCCGAGGAAGCGGGAGCCCGCGGCGGGAGCCGGGTGGGGGCAGATCGGGCGGAGAAACCCGAGGTGCACAGAGAGGGGCGGGGAAGGGGGAGCCCGCAGGCTCCGGGAGGAGGAGGGAGGGGTCCCCGGACGCTGCCGAG